ATGGTTAGGTGGTTCGCTGCGGTTCACGCGATTTGACGCATCCGGTGGCTTGAGAATGGGCGGACGTTGCCAATTGGTGTCTGGAAAACTGCTTTATGCCACGTTTGTCATATTCATTCGGTACATATAATAAATCTCCGTATAATTACTGTATTATTTAACAGAAAGTAATATTTATTTTGTAGTCTTATAATGTGTGTAAGTCCTGGCCTTTGACGTTCAGCCTTTGACGCTCAGCAGCGCGTTTATTCGACCTGGCCAAAGTTATTCGAAGGTTTATTCGGAGCCTTCGAATAAAATATAGGTACAGATAAAATTCTATTCATTATTCAAAACTTTCAATTGGATAAAAATTTTGCCCAACCCTGGTGTATATGTTTGTACAGAGGTGTGCTTCCTGATGTTGGATCTTATGCGGATCATGCTCGAAATCAATTTGCAAGTAAAAAAATGTTATACAACTAAATACGGAACGGCAAATAAAATAATAATTCTATGTAAAAACTGTTTATATAAATCACAGAAATAGCGATTCAACTAATGACATTATTCTTGGAGAAAAAAAAAAATTCAATTTCCCGTACAGTGTGTACTAAAAGTACGCTGGATAGACGATCCAACAATTGCGCCTTTCTTCTCGAATTCCTATCACTCACGGGATGTTGTGTAATTTGATAGGACTCGCTGGTACCTCTTCATTCAATCCTCTCGCCGATGCAGCGTCTAATCCATAATACCATGCTAAAGTATATGATTAAAGTACATCGAATCGGGCCGCTGCTCGGGATTCACGTAATGTACATTTTAAGCAGCGATGGTCTTAACCCCTTCATGACTCGATGACGTGTGCGCTGGTAATAAAGAAAATAAAAAAAAAGACCGAACATCGACGAGAAAGTCCCGACGACGGAAAGTCATCCACGTTGCCTTCGCCGAGCGGGACATAATAGGTTTAATTGCCATCTCTCCTTTTCGGGCTCTCCGCGCACGAATTACCTCGGCCTTACCTTTTTATAGAATCTTTCGGCTCGTCCCCGCGACGTGCACATAGACGGCGTTAGCTTCTTTTTTTTTTTTTTTTGCCCGCCGAATGTTAAGGAGACGCTATATTTTATTTCGTGAAGGATTGGTTCAAGTGTTAAGGATCTTGATGTCTCCATGTTCGACGATCGAGCGGAACACTTTAAAAGGGGTTTTGCGTTCCGAAGACACGCGTTGCGGCGATGTTTCTTGAAAACAGAAACTTTAAGGTGGATATCATGTATTACACGTTTTTTGGGGATGAATCGGAAGTGTCCCGACTGAAAGTGATACGGCAAATTTTTAGTGGAATATTTATGCATTTTGCTGCCAGTTATTCGAAAAATTTTTCTTTCCGAAGAGTCACATTTGTTTAATATAATAATAATACTTTATTTCCGCTTGGCTTATGACTTTGCGGCGACTTCCGGTTACACAATGCCGGATACAGGGTGCTAGGCACATATACAATACTCGATAACGAGACGATACAGAAATATAAAGATAAGGTCTTTTTTAATCTTTATTATTTATATTGAAGAGTGGATATAGACAAAGGGAGTCAAATCAAGCGAATTCGTAGGTACAGAAAGTTTGCAGCACTTATTGAGGCTAAAATGATGTATCTGTGAATATAGAAATTATTCTATATATTATATATTAATATACGATACATCCGCCATCTTGAAAATCGTAGATGCTTTCAACGTTAGTATACTGTTTTATGCTGTGTATATAATAACTATTTATTTTACTTTGCAACGCAAACATATTTTATTTTGTGAAAGTTGCTATTTTAATTTATGTTCGGTAGATTTTAGGATGAGTTATGTATTTATATTATTTAACCAAAACTAATTAGTAGAAAATTCAAGTGTTAAGGTTACTGTATAGAATAACCGTTCCTTAACTATTTACTTATATATTATAGTAGTATAATAATTGTGATTCATACATAGAATTAAATATTTAGCTTCGATTGTATTATATTCCATTTCATTTAGTAGAACTTACCATTATCATGTTTCCAATATTTCTTATATGATTCATTCCGTTGTATATTCTCGGAACGAGGCATTTTTTCCGAATTAATTCTATTCGTCATCGTTGATATCCGTTTTTACTCGATCCGTTTACGGGCAACAGAAGGCAATTATATCCAGACGGCCCATCAAGTAAATCAAAAGGAATTAATATTACGATGAGCGAATAATGGAGCGGACGATCCAAGCGTTACGTCTGCTGAAGGATCATCAAATTGAAAGCGTAAGCGTATTACGCCACGTGGAAATTGGACTGTATCAAATCCCATGACATTCATGTCGAAGGCTACTTATCGGTTGCGAAATTAACATGGGTAATCGGGATGATCATCAAAGTATTTTAAGGACCTGCAAGCGATTAATGTTACCGGTCACTTCGTTTCACAACCAATTAAACACCCGACCGACGCGCGAATTGTTGGCCGAAAATAAATCCACATCTCGATAAAAAAGATATCCCAAGTTCACTCGTAATTCTCACAGATCTCCATTGTGTAAAAGCTTTGAAAGTGAACTAAATATTATAAAATAATAAAAGTATGATGCTGTACTTGTAATTAGTATGATTTATTTGTTTAAGGATTAACTTATGGATCATGAAGTGCAATAAAAATTTATGTTTATTATTGACGTAAACATATATCATTTATTATTGATGTAAACAAGTAGGATTATTTACTAAATTCTATGAACGTTTTTATTTTATCATGGTTTCCATTCTTACGGATGCTGCAAAATATATTACTGTTATTACGAACGCCATAAATTTATGTATGTTACATGAATTTATATAACAGAATACACGTAATACCATATCTACTATACATATATATGTACCATATATTAATAAACGTTGGAATTTATAGTAACTGACAAATATGTTCACATATAATAATAATTAATAATAAATTTAAGAATTTTCAGTAGACAGACAAAATAAACGAGAAACTATCGGTAGATGCACTCGAGTACAGACGACTTTCTCGTCACTCCATCTTCCATAGTTAACAATTTACATGTAATTGCACCCATTTTCATTTTAACCCTCCGTTATCACACTGGGTCAAACTGACTCAGCATCTCACCTAGAAATAAAATATGTTTGAGGCTTCATTGAAAATGGTATTACAAACGCCATGTAGTAGTAATTTCACGTATCTTAAAAAAAAACTTTTTCAGAATTTTGCCGCGATCGAATGGATCCAGTGTGACAACTTGATTTGATAAAAAAATGTGGACCAACTATGAAATGCGCTAAAAAGTAGAAAAGGTATAGGGAACAATACTAATGGGACAATGGGTCAACGTAAGATGCTTTTCATTATCATTAGTTAAGCAGTAACCGTAAAGAAAAAATTAAGGGTTGGACTATTGGAAGGACGTGATTTCTGAATGGAAAAAATAGTTTATAATAAACAAAAAAAAATCAGAAATGTTTTGCAATCGGGATCACCGTGGGAACACCGTCTACAAGACGCAAAAGGTTTCATCTCGATTTGTCCATTTGTTGCAGTGCAATCGCAGGAAATACATAAAAAAGGAACGTACGTACACATCGAATTGTGTACCTCCTCCTTTTCAAAATCGGTCAAAAAAGGAGGTGTGACAATGAAGTAGAGATAGAGAAATATCGATAGTTGTAACCATCGTTAGTTACCGATACATCGTAGTGACTCTTTTTTGGTTACGAAAAGTTGTTGCTGTTGATTTATTTTGATTTTCATTTAACGTATTCAACAAAGCATATATGTCTTTTTCAAGATGATAGTTCACGATAGTAATCGACATGCCATAAATATTTCTTCATCTCTACAACGAAGGGTTAACACTATCACCGCCGGAACACTTTTCTCCCTCGTCGACTCGTTCAAGTGAAACATCCGAAAACACCAAAACCGAACGTATCGTTTCGCCGATCGTCGAGCTTCTTCGAAAAACCACGCGTGACTCGATCAATCACCGATCAGACACGCCCGATCAATCATCGTTCGGCGTATTCACCGGCAGGCATCGTTCCACCGGTTAATTATGCCGGTTAACCCCCCCGCGTAATTAGCACTCCTTCGCTCGAACATTGCCCAACGTCTCTATTCTCGGACTCGAAACCACGGAAGAGTCTGCACGGCCGCGTATGCATGTACCATCGAACAATTTCGTGAAAGTCCGAATAGCCTAGGAGCCCACGGACACACAGTAGTATTAATCAAGCCCGGTTAACGAAGACGAGCCAGTTTCGAATGTAGTTACTATCCTTAGATGGCTTCGTATCCTTAGGTACTCCTTCATCCTCGTTCGGACCAAGTCTACTCTCCTAGAATCGACGGGAGAGAAAGAGAGAAGTACCAGCCACGACGGTTGTTCGAAGTTAATGATGCGCCGCAATTGCGTTACAATATAGGATTCGTAAGCCGTGAAATATGGAACGAACCCGTATACTCTAGGTGGCTGTTGCTTCTGCTGATGCTGCCTACGGTCCCACTCTTCTTCACCGTCACCACCACCACCACCATCACTACCACCCCACCGTCGACGTAGAGCCGATTCAACACCACCGTGACACGGTTGCAACCGATGTGTGTATGCGCGGTGGTCCCCGCTGTAAATCTTTGCCCCGCTTCCACCAAACCCCGTGATCCAGAAACACGGATGATTCCCGGGGATATATAAAGCGGATTAGAAGCAAAGTTTGTCATTCCCTCGACACCGTCCCACGGTGGAAGGTGTGCAAACCGAAGATAGTCAAGGTAGAGTCTGTCCTCTGTCTTCTTACCCGTGCGGTGGTACCCCTAACGGTGATCGTCACGGCGGGAAGATCGCGTGATCGTCAGAAGTTCACGAGGATAAACACAACAGCGAACGGGGAACCAAGTGGAGGAGGAGGAGGAGGAGGTTTATTGTTCGACGGGGCGTGCGCACAACGGACAGGTTCAACCCGACATGTCTAAGGTGAGAAAAACGTCCTGGGGGCCCAGCGTGAGCAAGGGGAATTATATCTGTCGCAACTGATAACCATCGAACAGAGGAGGGAAGCTCGCGCTGTGGATCCGTCGGGGATGTCGTGGTAATTTCTTGTGTCGAAACCGAGGTGCCAGGGTCGCGTGACCCCACGGGTTCCCTGAGCACAATTGGAACCTGCAGGAGGTGCGCGGTGGTTTGTAATGGATAGAAAAGACTCTAGGAACGAGAGATTAAACGTCGAGATCGCGGTTTATTGGGACTTTGTTCACGCCCGGGAAGCTGTCCTAGAGGAGGCCGTAGTCGAGATTTATTAGAGGAAAAATTAGACGTTTTTGAAGTAATTTCGGTGTAAGTGGATGTACAGTAAAGCATCGATGAGTGTTCGATAACTCCTCGACACTGAACATTAAGTATTTTAGAAATTAATGGTCATATGTGGCTGAAACAAATATTATTCACGTCAGAATTCTAAGTTTTTTCACTGTGCTAAATAAGCGTTAGATTCGGGGACCCTTCTTTGTCAGTGCCGAGGACCCTTCGAACACTCATCGATGATTTATTGCAATTATTTTTCATTTAAATTGATCTATCGGTTGGTTGACTTTCTTAAACGACTTTAATTTGTCACATAAAAGTAGCTTCCTTAATTATACTTTCTCTAGTGGACACTTCGTTAATAGCAATCTATAAATTTCCAGTCCTTAAAGAACTTTTTTTTCTGAGTTTCCATGTTTCCTTGACTAAAGTTGTTGCATAGTCACGACTAACACAAAATGTAAGAAATTTCCAGTGGAAGATAGAAAATAACGGAATAATAGGTTGGATCACTATTCTAACTTGTCATGTGTAAGCAATTTACGCCGTATGATAGACAATATGTGTTGCGTATATAGTATAGTATGTTAGTTAATACACTCATCGCTATAATATACATTGTGTTTCTATCATACGACGAAAATTGCTTACACATGATATTACAATAGTGGTCCAACCTAGGCGATAGTCCAAATTCAACGTCTTCCCCTATTAAAACTAAAAGTAAAGCTTAAAAATTTTAGCTCATTGCCATATCGTCGCTCTAGTTCTTAATTGTTCCATCTCCATTAGTTTCTAAACTGAGTTTAAAGTTTACGAAGTTTAATATTATAGAAGCAAGAAAGTAGTGAAATAATCAAACACACTATAATATCATTTACCGAATAGTTATTTATTACAATATTTAATAAAACTTTATCTTATTATCAATATACATTTTTAATTGTTGTTAGTATTTGGAGATACAACCATTAAGAAAAAGAACATTCAAAATTTCGGTAGGTTGAATTTGTAGGTTGAATTTTTTTTATATTATGGTAAATTTGTATTCTTTCTACCAATGAGATGCACGTAGATTAAGTAACTAAATTTTTTTGAAAAATAGAGATAGAACAGTTACGAACTCATGCGACGATAAACTCTTGCTGTTAAAAGAACGTAACTTACAAAAGCCTAAAAAAGGAGTCACCCTAAAACTTTCCATTCATTACACGTAAAATTCGATTGATAGCTCGGGGAAGCATTATACCGAACAAAATCCACATAAAACGCTTGACCAACTCACTTACAGATCGCGTTAGCAGTATTCATCGTGGCTCTCAGCCTGGTGCGGTCCGAGCCTCCAGTGAGCTCGTATCTACCACCTGGCGGCGGCGGTGGTGGTGGTGGTAACGGTGGCGGCGGAGGTGGAAGTCCATCGAACACCTATGGACCGCCCGGTTTCGACAGTCAAAACGGCGGTAATGGCGGCAACGGTTTGTCGAACAGTTACGGCGCGCCCGCAGGTGGTAGCAACGGTTACAATGGCGGCGGTTCCGGTAACGGACGACCTGGTTCAAACGGCGGAAGAAACGGTGGTGGTGGCCGAGGGAACGGTTTGGGTGGTGGACAACCATCCAGCTCGTATGGGCCACCGTCAAATGGATTTGGCGGGAACGGTGGTTCAGGAAACGGGCGACCTTCCAGCAGCTACGGACCGCCTGGCGGTGGTAACGGTGGCGGAAACGGCGGTGGAAACGGCAAGAACCAGTTCAATGGCGGCCCACCATCCAGCAGTTACGGGACTCCAGAAGGTGGGAACGGTGGCAGCAATGGAGGCGGCCCACCTTCCGGCCTGTACGGACCACCAGGAAGAAACGGGAACGGTGGTAATGGTGGTAACGGTGGCAACGGAGGACGGCCGTCGGGCAGCTACGGGCCACCGGACAGGAATAATGGAAGGCCGTCTGGGAACTATGGAACACCAGAAAGGAACAATGGAAGGCCGTCGGGACTTTACGGACCGCCTGGCAGAAATGGGAATAACGGTGGTGGAAACGGTGGGAACGGTGGTGGCAATGGTGGATACCCGTCTGGAGGATCGAACGGAGGCAATGGGGGTAATGGTGGATACCCGTCTGGTGGACCGAATGGAGGGAACGGAGGCAATGGGGGATACCCGTCTGGTGGACCGAACGGAGGGAACGGTGGATACCCGTCTGGGGGTGGTAACGGAGGCAACGGTGGTGGATATCCATCCGGTGGACCTGGTGGAAACGGTGGTAACGGTGGTTATCCATCCGGTGGACCCGGTGGAAATGGAAATGGGAATGGTGGTTATCCGTCGGGAGGACCTGGTGGAAATGGTGGCTATCCGTCTGGAGGACCGGGCGGAAATGGAAATGGTGGAGGTTACGGGGCTAACGGAGAGGAAGAAAGTAACGTGAGTAGAAGTTGTACGAAATACAGTGAATCCTCGATGAGCGTTCGAAGGCGACGCTGAACATTAAATATTTCATAAACTAATGGCCGTATGCAGCTGAGACAAATATCATGAGCTTCAGAATTTCAAGCTCTATCACTTTGATAAATCTCATTATAACATCAATGTTACATCTGGGGAACTCTCTTTGCTAGTGCCGCGGAGCCCTCGAACACTCGTCGATTATGTACTGTATTATTTATTTCACGTTTTGGGGAAACATTCCCTTCCAATTAATTTTTGTAGTGAATAATGTTACTTTGGTAACGTTTGTAAACAGAGGCGCAGATTGTTAGACTTGTTTTAACGTCTTCGTCCTGATTTCAGGTGTAGATTTGGTTCTTATACTGGTTTCATTTTAGTCTTGACGATCGTATTCACGAACTTTCTTTTAACCCTTTCGTTCCTACTGTAGCCATACGGCTACGTATTATAAATTGTGAAATGAAATATTATTAGTGTTATGTATTTCTTCATATCAGTGAGCATTTAATAGTTTCGTCTGGTCTTGTATAGGATGGCATGATACGAATTTTAATATACAATTTACAAGCTTATCTCGTAAAATAAGACATTATTGTACATACTCTGTTCCTTTCATTTTCGGAAATTCAAGCGTTCAGCATTTTTAGGAATGGAATAAACCTCTGTAAAGCTTCAATTTCTTTCAAATATTCTAAAGTGGTTTACTGAGAACAGGTAAGAAAAACGGATTCTATCATGACAAAAGTGAAAAGATTGCCAAATGGCAACGAATAGAAAATAGAATTAAGCGCATTCGAAATGTTAAAATGGTCTTGTGAATCATTCGCATATCATGTCATATACAAAAACAAAATGCACAACAATAGTTCTTTGTGATTATTAAATAATTTGGGAATGAAAGGGTTAACAATGGTCCACAAATTCTTCGATTACATTTATATCTGGAGTGTTCTAGAGCTATGAGTGTAGTTTAACATGGTTTCGTTTAAACATTTTCATATCGATCGGGATCGTTATGAGAATGCTAGTTGCAACCATAATTAACCTGAAACTTCTGCTATTCGAGTTAATGAAATAGCAATTCTCCGCGAACATTTTGATACGTGTTACATTATTCTGAGTAGTCTCCTGTATTTCATTTCTAAGAATAAGGTAATGAGGAATTTCTTGATTACACGGTGTAAGCGTATTGTCTGTCGGATAAACGAAGATTAATGATCCAGGAACCAGCGAAATACGAATTCTCTTATGAGGTGAAGGATGAACAGTCCGGTGCTGATTACGGGCACACGGAAACCAGAGACGGCGATCGCGCGCAAGGAGAATTCAATGTTCTGCTTCCTGACGGAAGAAAGCAGATCATTGAATACGAGGCCGATCAGGACGGATTTAAACCACAGATTAGATACGAGGGCGAGGCAAACAACGGCGGATACGGTTCCGGTGGACCGGGCGGGAACGGTGGAAGCGATTTCGGTGGTAATGGATACCCGAGTGGTGGCCCCAACGAGAATGGAAATGGCGGCAATGGCAACGGTTATCCAGCGGGAGGACCAGGTAGCAATGGAGGTGGATCTGATTTTGGTAACGGTACGATAATATAGTTGCTTGTATAATATGTGACACATAACCCTCTGTTAAACTATCTTCCCAGATAGCACACAGACAGCTTACAGGCGCTTTAGACCTAAAATGGCCTAGCAGTAAAATGGGCATCTCTAAGGCGTCATGTGCTATCTGGGTTTGCTTGACAGTGAAGAACATTTAAGTGAAAGAATAATTAAGTGATCTCCAGGTGCCATCTAAGCACACAGAATGAGTAACGTGTTAATAGAAATATCAACTTCTACTTTACTCGTTTTACTTTCATGAAAACGTTACTAAATAGTCGTAGACTATTAATGTTCTCTCGATAAAAATGAATACAAACACTACGTTATTGGATCTATTTTTAATAATACGTAATGTGAAATACTATAAATCAATTGCGTTAAACATTGCTCGGAGAATGTCATATTTAAAATCGTTCTCATTGAAAATTTATTTTCTTCGTAAATGAGTTTAACGGGTTGTGAGTTAATTGAAAGTGTTGTAGAATTTCGTTGAAGTTTTTCTTTTATTGTAATTATATATTTTTTAATAATATATATATAACTATATACATCTGATTAGCCGGATATCCATCTGGAGGACCGAACGGGAACAATGGCGGCTACAGAAACGGAAACGGTGGCGGCAATGGTAATGGCGGATATCCATCCGGAAGTGGAGGCGATGCCGCGGCCAACGGTGGATACCAATACTAAAATATTTATTTAGGCGTAGTGATATATGTATTGCGTGTATTACGAAAAGGGAATGCATAGGGCAACATTCTTCATAACGCATAGAATAGTCTTCGTCTGGAACAGCAGAAACGTGGCTGTTTACGATAATCACATGTGACAACCACAGCACCATCGATTCCTCTTGTCGGTAACACTAAATCGTCAAGTATTTCCGGTTTAACATCAATGGAAGGGATGGAAGGATGTTTCGTTTAACTGTAAACACGGATTGAGCTTTCAAAAAGCAACGCTTCGTTTGTTTTAGACGCGGAATTCATACTATATACTTTTACTATAGTGTAAATGGAAAAATTATTTATACAATACACACAAACACCTCACAGTCGATGTTTAGGAACGAACGATGCTTTTGGATACTATAATTGCACACGTTTACGATGGAATTTATATACGTTGCAGTAACGCCCAATGGTATCGTTCATATCACTTAGCAAACGCAACGTTACTTGACTGTTTCATCAATGCGTTCTTCCAACATATACTCAGTGAATCTCATACACCGATTGGTCACTTTTGTATGTACGCTATTTAATTTCGCGCGTACCATTATCGTGTTCGTTTGAGGGAACATTACAAATTGTATGTTCCTTTGTGGATTTTATGTACACCAATTCATAACCATAATCAGATGTACGCTAATTTGTAACGTTTGTTAAGATATTGTATTTATTTACTATTTATCATACTATGTATATTTTGATGATGTTTAAACTGTAGCTGTAGAAACGAACGTCCGCATAAATAAATATTGCGGTAGGCCATAATGTGTTCAATCTTTCACTCGCACCTTTATGACACATATTATTTACGCATAAACAAAATATTATTAACGGATCACTTAAATAAATGCTCTTAGTTCATTTATGACTATAAAAGTTGCAAAAAATGTTCACATCCTATTTATTCCTTATATTACATGCTTGTACAATTACTTGCAACACAAGTAATATTCAAATAATATTTATTTATATTATTCGCTTAATAAATCTAGATTATCATCAAGTGATATTTGAATGTGCTAAATCTGTTATGGCTTTTTGTCTGAGCGTGTACAGCTTTTTCACCCATTTATCAAACCTTGCTTCTTGATCAAGAATTATCTAAAAAAAAAAGGTACATTAGAATAAAAATTCATTATTATATTTGTGTATGAAATATTAAATAGAAAGAAAAAGATACACTACCGATGAATGAAAAATACTTTCTGACCCACTAGGAATATCAGCCACTGTTGGAACCTGTATAGTATCTGCTGCAATGTCTATTACAATATTTTTAAATTTCTTTTCTTTTGTATTGGAGGATGAAAATTGCTTTGGAGTGAAACCTTCAGAATTTATTGCATCTAATATTCCTTCTTTAAAACGTGGTTCAATTGGAAAATCATCTTTAAAGAACAATTTTATGTTAATTTGGAACAGATCATTTAACACTTCTTTGTATGTTTTAAATATTTTTACACACTCTGGTATAATGTATAAGCAAAGGTAAGTAAGAATCTACAGCTGATACTGTCAATTTGGTTGAGAAATGTAAATATCATTTAAAGTAACATTCTTAATGTGTTATTCATACCTTTAATTACTATATTCTTAGTTTTCTCAGTCACAATGGCTTTTGCATTAGATTGTGAACTACTTGAACAACTACTAGACTTTTCTCTTGATACTGATCTTGGTCTTCGTTTTGAGCGATCTAGAGATCGCGATTTAGAACGGTACCTGTGCCTTTCTCTACCTTTCGAACTACTATTCCTGGTGCTTTTATAACTTTTCTGACTACGTTCTCTATCTCTACCTCTGCTTCTAGAATGCGAACGATGTCTTCGTTTTGTTTTTGAATGCTTTGACGATCTTCTTCTATGAGATGATGAATCACTGGAATCTGAACTAGATGATCTAAAAAATAAATTACAGGTTTGATGTTTCAAATTATATACTTAAACACTTTAGGTACTTTTAATACCAAGTAAATCATTAATGTTGATGATTTTGTAAATAACTGCACGTTAAATGAATTTAACTGTAAATTGAAAAATTAGATATGCAGGTGAGAATCTATGGGTGCTTGGAGACATTCACCACTTGCATTCTCCAATAGTGCTAATTGAGAAGCATTATTACTGTGAAATAGTAACAGATTGGATATGATAATGTAAGATATTTTTGTTCCATTTCAGCTTCTCTACAAGCTGCTTAAAATATTTCAATATATATCTGAAATGTCCAACTGTATACACATTGCACTGTGTAAAGTATTATACACTTTTAATTGTTATTGAGATGTTATATACCTAGATCTTCGGCTGCGCCTTCTTCGATATCTACTGTTGTGATCTGAATCTGATTCACTAGAATACCTCGCCATAATTTAAAAAAATTCTTTGTTTACTTCGTTGGAAGGTTAAGCATAATATTGTTACAATCGCTGAATCAATGTATGTGACATTTCAGTATTATTCACAAGTTTAAATCCAATTATATTCGTGGCTAGCTATATTGAAAATTTGGTACGAATAAAATAAAAACTGTTAAGATAATACTATATACATTCATAGAAGCTGTCAATATCCACCCAGGTTCCAATAATATTGACAGAGAGGAAATGAGAAATGAGGGTATTCACGCCCGGGAATCCGGGAATTCGTTGTTTTCGGATAAGTGCTGCACCAAGCGACGAATTCTGGAATAATAGTAGACATTTACCCATTTTGGTGCAACACTACATATCTACCCTCGCGAGCAAATTAATTTATATTTGACCATTGAATATTATAAAACAGATCAGGAGCAATTTTTTGGTACCATGATCTGGTTGTAAAAAGACTATTTCCTATCTATTTTGCAGATAACAAATTTTTGCTTTATTTGCGAATATCGCATTAAATATAAACGGTGCGATGGGAGCAATTTCAGATTCGGAAAGAGCAAATCGGGAGCAATGTTTTGAGATATAAATCGTTAAGATACGTTAACATTCGGCGCCAACTATTTTCCGGTGGCGCCAGAGACCCTGTGTGGGAGAGAGTGGGGTCATAGAACCCCTGGTGGAGGCGCCAGAGACCCCGTGTGGTGAGATCGTGGGGTCCTAGAACCCCCGGTGGAGGCGCCAGAGACCCGTGTGGTGAGTTCGTGGGGTCATAGAACCCCCGGTGGAGGCGCCAGAGACCCCGTGTGGTGAGCGTGGGGTCATAGAGCCCCCGGTGTAGGCGCCAGGGACCCCGTGTGTGTGAGATGTACCCTCACGAGTAAAGTTATTGACATATCTGACTATTGAATATTATAAAACAGATCAGGAGCAATTTTTTGGTACCATAACATTTCTGTAAAAAGGTCATTTACTCCCTATTTTGTTAACAACAAATTGTTACTTTTTCTTTTGCGAATATCTCATTAACTATTAACGGTGCTGGGGGAGCAATTTCAGATTCGGAAGGAGCAAATTGGGAGCAATTTGTTGAGATATAAATCGTTGAGATACGTTAACATTCGGCGCCAACTATTTTCCGGTAACGTAACCCCAGAAAAGTGGGCTGCAAAAAGACATTGCATGAAATGTCTACTCCTATACCTCGTCTGTGATATACATATATTTTTACTTATCTATAAGATAACTTCTTTCTAAGTGCATCATTAATGGACATTTTAATAACGTTACTTTTTCCACGTTCCTTTTTTATTCGTTTGTATATCTTTTTTATCTAATAACGTGATATGGGAATCTTAATACGCACAATCAATTACCTTCTAGCAATTGGTGACTTCTAATATATAATTTTATTTAGATTAATTTTACTTATTGGGAGTAATTAAATAGTGAACTTGGAACCAACTGGAGCTCAAGTAGTCAAACTTTCTCCATAACGAAAAGTTTTTATCTATTATTTAATTGGTACTATCTGTCAGATTGTATTTCATAAACTTTGGCGCCATTGTCAAATTGACAGGATATGGTTTTCATAGATGGCGTTCAAGAACCATTGCAGGATTGTAAACTTCGAGAAGACGGCAGCAAAATTAATATTTTCTATTTAAAACTAATTAGAATATAAAAATTTCGGGAATAGTGCGTGCCTCTTCGTTTCCCTTTCATGATAGTCATTCCCTTCTAAATTAATTTCGGATGCACATAAGAAAAATGTTTTGAAATATATTTCGGCGGTAAATATTCTATTTTGTTCAAATAAAAAGTGAGGCAAGGATGGAGGCGACCAATCCTCACATTCCTCACCAACCGACGCACCAATCACGAACCTCATATATAAACGAATCAACCAATCATAGCCTGTCGTAGACAACCTAACGGACATTCGTCTCAGGGAAGCTGGAGTGATTAGACGTGAAGTGATATCGCTTGTGGTGGAGTAAGTATTATTACTTTTCACTTTAAATTATTTATGCTATTAGTATTTTCGTCAACACTTTATTGTTACTTTCGTTTAATATCTATTCAATGCAGTGTAAATAATCGTAAATAAAGTCGGTATTACTAGCTAAAGTTGAACCGGCTTTACGATTTCTGTGCTCCCTCCGATACCACTTAGTATTTACGCAGTTTTTGTTCAATTTGCAATCTTTGGCGACATTCCTTGACACAATAATTGTTCCGTTGTGACTCAATCATTGTTAATGTAGTATAATTACTTCGTATTAACGTTTATTTTTTGTTTCAGAATTCCGGCTAGAAAGAACGCGCCACCGATGACAGACCGAGACTCTCCCATTAGAGGCAATTTGGCGGGAAATTGGTGAATTCTGGTGATGTATTATAACAAAATAGGTTATACTCGACTGCATATTTCTATTTTATTGCATTTTTATTGTTTTGACCGTAAACATGATCACGATTTTATGATTAACTTTGTTAAAATCGAAGAAGAATTCTTTCGAAATATATTTCATATTCAAATGCGTAATTGTAGCATCTAATATGCCTCCGTGACCGTTAAAATTTACGTTGCGTACGTGCGCTGTATTGTATTTCTTTTCGCCTCATTTTTTTCCACAGTATTTGGTGGCCGCGCGCAAGGCGGCCGAGTCGAGTCAGTGTTTGTTTACAACGAAGTTTTTTCTGTTTGTTCGGAGCGAACTGGCTCCCAGTAGAATCTCACCGGAGGTGTTAGGTGCTCGCGAAAGTAGAGTCAGTGTTTGTTGCGTACAATCAATTACTTGCAGAGTGTCGGCACACTCTTTGCATTTGTTCGCCGGTTAGGATCTTCGATCGCGATAGTCTTTTATATTAATTTTTTTTCTACCTTAAAGTGCTTGTTCGCGGTGGTAGAGTCAGTGCATTAATGAAGAGGATGTTTTTGGGCGAAGCTCTAGCAATAGAGATTGTAAGTATCTTAATGTTTTATTACCTACACTGTTTAACTGAAACAGCTAGAATTTTGAGAAGAGGTTATAACGAGTTTCGTTCCTTTTTTCAGATTTATCAGATGCTGCATTAACGTCCACTACAGAAGATGTCCTCGGACGAAGCTACAGGGTTTATAGGGAGCTCTTCAGTCATCGGGTGAGTGCATATTTTAATTCCTCCAGTCCCCAATCATGTCGTAGAATGATTGGTCCGAAACGACACGGGCGACTGGTTGTATACGTGCTTTGGCGAGTACAGTGAACGAGGTTATGCAATCGTACGATTGCATGTCCGCGAGTAGTATTTGATCTGTTATGTTTCTTAGTTAGGCTAGGGTCTTCTTGTACGCCGCGCTTATTATTAGTAATATAATTCATAAATATTTTGTATTAAAACTATATTTATGAGTTAAATATGCAATGTCCGGTATACAGGCGAACATGATGCAGACGAAACCACATTGCATATGATGTATTTTTTTTAATGGTACAAGTTAACACATGATAATGATCTTGATATTTCAAGACCGAGCGGTCTATTACTTAAACAATTGTTAGTTTTTAATTAATTGAGTATATATCATGATAGTAGGTTATTAATTTTACTAGAAGATGCAGTAATTTGAAGATGATGTGCACAATAATTTCATTGTAGTTACTTCAGTATACTCATTTCAATACCTTAGTCAGATATCATTTATGAATATAAAATGAAATAGCTCTACATAAAGTAAATTACAGAGTATAGAAACTACAATAAATTCGCAGTGGCCTGTAAATAACGGTTAGCTGATAAAAAAAATAATATTCAAGTCATTAATGTGTGAAACAAGTGTCAATGGTAGATTCGAATATAGAGTAGAAACAACGGACACCAAACAGGTATGTTGAAAATAGAGGCGAAAACGGGGTGGTGCCTTCTCAGATGGGCATGTTATAGCAGTTAGCGCAATACCACGAGACGCGACAGCACGTTTGAAATGCCGGAACCAGTGTCGCGAGACACAAAGGTTATTATTCGTATTTGCAAGTTCCATGAAACAGTTGAATACGTGTACTGGGAATCGCGATAAAGTATCCGTGCATAAAAAGAAGACGTATTAAGTTATGTCACCTGTGCATCGATATGCACGCCCTAGTGAAAAACCGCGTGTTATGGAACAATTTAACACGTTGTGCATGTATGACTATTGAAAAGTGCATTGCGATTTCCAGTTATCGTGGCCGGTGTTTTCGTTGCCACTGGCAAAGAACGCATACGGTTACGTACACGGGTAGAGTACCGAGACGTACTGGCGTGTACTCACGACCATTTTCATGGAGTGTGAGCGTTAAATGCAGGGAAGGTACTACTGTGTTTCACCAGTATGTATAGTGTTCCACAAACATATTTGGTATGGTAGACGTATATACTCAGAAGGAATGAGTATTTGTATTCTGTCCTTTAAAAAGGGCAGGCCTAGAGGTGTTCATTTACTACTTATGTGCAGCATTCTTCCCATCCGGAGGTACCCTGACTATGGGACTTGGATTGACTATCTCAAGTCAATTTGAGGTCTGTAGTCAGGGATACCTACGATGGGAAGTTTGTAATTGCTTGTAGCTCGTGGGCGGCATTTGGACACCTTTGGTATTAGAGTTAATTTTTATGATAGTTAGTATGTTAATAAAACTTTATTTCATCCGTTAGTGTGTTAATTATTATTTTCAACAGTTTTACTGTCATTTGCAGACTAATAACGAAATGAATATAACTTAAATTTATTTAGTATTTGAATACAGTATAAATAATATTAGCGTGTTTATAATAGCAATATTAATCGTTATTACTTTTTGTACTCGAAAAAAAAAAATAATAGGTCTGGCAGGACTTAAACACAAAACCTCTTTCTAATACTTTTACTTTTTAGCGAACAAACAGAAGAATCTGCGATCATGATTCCTTCGGTTATTTTCGAAGATATTGAGCACTCAAAGTTACTGCACTGTTTTTTATAATGCACGTATGATTGAACAGTAGTTTCATTTATTCTTCTTTATTGAATAATATTGTACTGTACAAAATGATTAATAACTAAATTTGCTTAGTTATCTTAGTTATGTATAAAAGTGTAGAAAAGCACGGGTTAGTGATTGCAACAAATAATGTGCTGCACGACAGAGTGGGGTGCGCGCACGTGGGTAAGAAATACGTGTGAGCGAAGGGT